TGGATATCCAGAGTTAGCTACATACTCTGCATGTGTCTGTTTCTAAGGATCCTAAGGAGGCGGCAACAGAACTTGCCCCTAGACAATACAGTCCAAAATCAAATTAATTATAAAACCTGGCTTTTCCGGCTTTCCTTTGTTAAAATGTAATTAGCGTTCAGATTTTTATATTGATTTTTAACTTTATCCTGTTTCTCCACACATCAGAGAAAAATAATAAGGCCCTTTATATTTAGACATAAAAGGAAAATTTCATTGGCACATTGTTGATTCTTTACTTAAAAGTTATTATAAGAAAACTTTTATCCGTGATACGTTAACCACATATGTCCTTACCTCTTGATAAAGGTCACTGAGATCTTGCTGGTGGGCCTGTTTGGAACATCCTGGGAATTCCCTAACACAGCAGGAATCTGGGGGCCAGTCCATCTCTGTCATTTCCAACCAGTCAGTGAAATACACCACTCCACAGCACTTAAACTGCAAAAGAATCACTGGTCAGGCTCAGAAATTATAAAAATATTTTCTTAATTTATAGGAGATTAAACATTAGATTTCTTAAATTTTTGTGCCCTGAGCTAAGCTCACTTCTATCATCACCTAATGATATGTGTACATTCCACGCTGATGATAGAAATGTGGTTGGTAGAGGAACACCATGGCTATCTACCCCATAATAAAGCAATTCTGGAAAATAATGCCCATAACACATAAAAACAAATCAGGCATGACTACATCTCACTCTCCAACCGTGAGATCCTCTACAAATGATTATATAGCAACAGATTTAACATACACACTAGGAAACCAAATAGCTGACATCTTATCTTTATCATTAAATCTCTAGTCACTAAAGACTAGTTAATAAATCAATTTGTTTATGGCTCAACAAATTCAAATATTGCATCAAAAGTTGAAATAATCTTTGTAGAAAAGATGGGTTGACCAAGGCCCATATCACAAATGTTACCAGACTTGGATTCCTTAACCAGTAAAATACCCAGAAACTTTGAGAAATAAACATAGGTCTGGCCAATTAATATTTATTCAACTGAGTGAGATTCTTGAAAGAAACTACCATATTCTATCACTATAATCTCAGAAGTGATGTACTTTTAGCTTGAATAAAGTTGAATTTAAGAAAAACTATATTGTCTTTTTTTTTCTTTATCTCATGTCTCCAAAGATTAGCAAAAACTTTCTCTGGTCAAGGTTTAGAAACACTGCTTAAGGACATATATAGATTAGATTCAGAACAATTAACTATGATGAATAATTTTCTGCTCTAGGGTAGAGGGGGTTGCTCTTCCCTCTCTAGTCAGAAGTAAGAAATATGGGCAGTCACCAAGAAGAACTTTGCCAAGAGCGACTGGCTATACAAATTACGCAGCCCAACAGATCAATTTGT